GTCCCCGCCCTGTCCCCTCGGGCACTTGCAGGAGTCTGAACAGAGGGGCACTCCTGGGAGGCCCCGGGCTGTGGCCCCCGCTTTCGGCTCTGGGCACGGTGCTGACCCGGCTCCCTGGTTGCGAGTCAGCGGGAGCTGCCGTGTTAACAAAACGGCTCTGACTCAGCCCGAAGCCGGGGACAGGCAGCGGGTGGAGGCGGGGCTGAGTGACAAGGTGCACAGCCGGCGCTGCCCACGGCAACAGCGGCCTTCACGGGCCTTCGGGGCCTTCCGGGCCTTTGGGGCCAGCTTCTTCCCGGCGGCAGGAAGCAACAGAAGGATGACACTGTGTCAGTCACATCTGGGATGAATCACATAACAGGTTAGGTCAGTGACCGGGAACATGTGACCAAGGCGCAGGGCTGCGTGAGGACGGCACTGTCACTATGAACTGCCTCTCTGCACTTGGTGGCTTGCTGACAGACACTGTGGAGCTGGCTCGTCCCCCCCTCCCCAGCAGAGCACCGTCCCCTGCTGCAGGGCGGACGCTGGCACGAGGCCGGGGAGACCCGGGCACCCCAGGGACAGCACCGCCAGGAACACGGGCTTCTCCGGGACGACTGCCCAGCAGCCCCAGGACGGGGAAGGGCCCCCTGTCCCGCGGCATCTCCCCCGGGCGGCGAGGGGACCCTCCCGTCACACAGTCCCCGTCCTCTAAGCTCCCTCCCCTTCCGGGCATTGCGCTCGGGTCCGCCCGGGCTGGACCCCACGCTCAGTCGCCTCGGCTCCCCGGACTCTGCAGGAGCTTCCTGCGCTGCGCTTCCAACCCGCCACCCTTTTCCTGTCCAAGAATTTCCGCAGGAAGTCACCAAGACGTGCTGTGCCGCGTCTCAGAGACAGTGCCAACTGGACTTGGCCGTCAGAGGGACGGCCCGGGGCTCAGCTTTGTTTGTCTGTGCCTGACTTTCTTGTGCACTGTCTACAGTCACTGCTCCAAGCACGTGTCACCCCCTTAGAGCCCCCCAGTGACACCTCTGCCCCCTCCATTCATATCGAATGACCTCTCCTCCCAGTCTGTAAAGTGATCAGGGACACCGGGACGGGGTCCACTTTCTGTGCCTCCGGGCCCCTCCCAGGCTCACTTCCTTTGCCTCCACCTGGAGGCTCCTCCTGGCTCCTGGCATTTGCCATCGTCCCCTGTCGCCACCCGCAGCTCCAGCCGGGCCCCCTCACAACAGCCCCTCACCCCCACAACAGCCCCTCACCCCCCCGGCCCCCCAGGCCTCGGCAGGCGGTCTCCGCCTCCCCCCTGTCTCTGATGAGCAGCGGTCCACCACCTCCCATCACCTCCCAAGCCGTGTTCGGGCCTCGGGACCTGCCGGCCGCTGCTCGTGTCACTGTGCCCGCCCGCCTGTTCCGCCGTCCCTGGGCCCCCTCTCCCGGGCTACGCAGGCCCTCACCTCACCCCCCCGGCCCCCCAGGCCTCGGCAGGCGGTCTCCGCCTCCCCCCTGTCTCTGATGAGCAGCGGTCCACCACCTCCCATCACCTCCCAAGCCGTGTTCGGGCCTCGGGACCTGCCGGCCGCTGCTCGTGTCACTGTGCCCGCCCGCCTGTTCCGCCGTCCCTGGGCCCCCTCTCCCGGGCTACGCAGGCCCTCACGGCAGACCCCAGGTCTGCGAGCTATCTCGAGCTTCCCTCTTCATCAGCTTCCCCTCCCCTGTGTGAATGTCCTTGGCCAGCACAGGCTCCGAGTCCATCCCAGGCCCTGGCCTGCGTCCTGGCTTCGTCCCTTGTTCCCGGCTGTCTACAGGGCATCGCTGACCAGGCAGCTCTTGGGAAAGGCAAGTCCTGAGCATCTGGGTCGGAACCCGGCACCGTCCCCAAGCTCGCTCTTCTCCACGGCCGTACTTCTGTTCCCAGCCCAGACGCGGGAGCTTCAAAGCAGCCATCCCTGGGGGTCCCTGAGGTGGCACTGGGCTGTCCCCCACCAGTCCCGGGCGTCCGGCTCAGGCCTAACATGGGGCATTCACGAGTGACACTTCGTCCTCCCCGATCAGTCAGCGAGTCTCACCGGCGGGAACGATTCACTCTTGAAAATTGAGACGAACCTTACGAACGACGTGGTTTGAGTTGGCTCTGACTCTGAAAATCGCCCGGAGTAGCAGAGAGACGCTGTCGTGGCCTGCGGGCCTGGAGCTCCTCTCAGCCTAGCGTCTGAGCAGGACACGTGCGAAGCACGCACGAGCGAGCGTGTCGTGAGAAGCCGTGTCACTCTGACTCTGGGTGTCACTCCGACTCTGGGTGTTTGTTTCACTCCGAACCCGGCCGCTCTCCTAGACGAACCCTGCGCAGGTGACCATCAAACGCCTTCCGCATGCGGCATCCGGCCATGGCGCTGACTCACGTCCTCTCGCGTTCACGTACCAGAGCGGCCTCCAGTAAGACGGGGAGGGACGAGGAGCCCGGACTGTCCCCGAGGGTCTCCTGTGCCAGGCGTCCCCTTGGACGGCAGAGCGAACGACCCACGGACGCCCCGTGCGGGGTGCGCTCTGGGTCCCCACGGGCTCCGTCCGGAGCAGCAGCCGAGGCCCAGCATGACGGCAGTGACGAGCCACTCCGACGACGCGCACTGCACGCGCCCCCGCCCGGAGGACGTTCCCGCCGCTGGCAGATCCCCGTGCACATCGAAGGCGACATGGAGCAGCAGTGACGGGGACCTCGGAGGCAGCCTCAGGAGCACGGGCAGTGCAGGCAGCACGGGCAGCACGGGCAGGGGCGCTGGGCCCCAGAGCCCCGAACCATCAAAACCACCATTCCCAGGGAGCCCTGGGCGTCACAGTACGACACACAAAGGTGGCACCTGCGGGGGGACAGTGACCCGCCCTCGAGCACACTCATCCCTCGAGGCCAAGCGCACACTGCGGCCATCCCGCAACCACACCAGCCACCACCGCTCTGTGTGCGGGAAGAAACCGCACTTCCGGTTTGCTCTGGAGTGAAATCACTCGGAACAGAACTCCCAAGGCCTGGCCAGCATGGGCCTCAGCCGCAGCAAGGGAGACGGCCACCGGTCAGGGTCTGTCCCCGAGGGAACGGAGCACACTGGGGGAGTCACAGATTTTCTGCCGGCTCACTTGTACATCCGGACACAAAAGCTGGAGGGGCAGGGCGGTCACTGGTGACCTGAGGCAAAACCACTTCATTCGCTCACTTTCTACAAAGCGACTGTGCATTCGAGGTCCCCGGCCTGCTGCAGACGAGCGAGCGGGAACAGACACGCTCAGGAAGCGCGCTCGCGGGGCTAAGAACCGGCGCTGCGGAGAAAGCACAGCGAGGGGCCTTCCCCTGCAGGCGAGCCCGCGAGGCCCCTGACATCCACGTGACGGCTGTGAGGAGGAAGCGGGGAGGACATCGGGCTCCAGACAGCAGCCGTGCAAAGGCCCCGAGGCAGCAGAGAGCCTGCCCATCAAGAAACCACAAAGCCCAGGGCCACAGGACAGCAGGACGGGGAGGGGCCGGGCCGCAGGTGCTGCATGGTCCATGCAGCGCCAGAGGAAGCCGTAAGCACGCGCCGGAGCCTCGGAGCGGGAGGTGGGCCGCGGCTGCAGGAGCGCAGGACGGTTCAGAGCTTTGAAACGACGGCGTGAGGACGCCACACGATTGGGGACGCCACACGATTTTACTCCCGGAAATCACTTTCGCTCTGGAACCGAGTTTGCTGTCACAAAACCATGGCTGAGTCCAGCTCCTCCAGGCCATCTGGACGGCACCGGGGTCCTGCGGCCGGCTCAGAATTTGGAGCTGGAGTCCTGAACCCGGAGCAGCTGCGGTTGTGGGGGTGCGGGGCAGGGGGGACCAGCAAGGTTCCTGGCCCCAGGCAGCAGCCAAAGCCCAGCACCTAAGGCAGAAGCCCACTCCTGAGACGCCCCCGCCTCAGTAGGTCGGGACACGGTCCCTAACCTCGGGCCCACCAACGCACCTCGGAGGTCTCTGACGGCCCTGATAAGGTGAGCAAACTGGGGATATGTGTGTGTGTCTTTTCCTGGGGTGGGGTCTGGGGATTTTTCATAATGTTCTGTTACTTAAAAGCTTGAGGCACCTCGGAATGGGGTGGGGGGCTGGAACCCGACAGGCACGGGGACCCAGGCACTGGGCGTCTACCCGCTCCAGCGTGTCGGGGCGCCCCTCTCCACGCACCCCGCATAGCAGACTGACCCTGACCTCTCCACGCACCCCGCATAGCCGACTGACCCTGACCCAGCCAGTGAAGAGCCGTGACACAGGCTGAGGCGGCTCCGGGCTCCCCAGGACGTGGGCAGGCCGAGCGAGATGGAAACCCCGGTTCCCAGAGCCGAAAGCAGCCACGCGGCATGGGAACACGTCACACTGTCCACGAGGAACTTGTCCCCACGCCCCGGCAAGTGCACGTGCGCCGCCAACGATGTCCTCGTGAGCGACAGAGTATGGAAAAAGTGCATCTAATTCTCATGCTGACGGGGTGTGCTGTCTTATTATTTCAGTTTTCCAGAAATGTTTTAGAACAAAGAACCAAAACCGTAATTTTATCATAGCCCGTTTGTTTGTCTGTTTGTTTTTATAATTCTGGGTTTATTTCTAAACCACTCCACTTGAGCTGACTGGCGTGGAAAAAGCTGTACGTATCCACTGTACACAACTCAGAGAGTGTGGGGAGGAGTAACACCTATGAAACCACCATCACCGAGGCCACGAACACACCGTCACCTCCCGATGTCCCCTCCCACCCCTTTATTATTATTATTGTTGTTGTTGTTGTCATATTTTTGGCGTGGTAACAGCACTGAACATGAGACCTCTCTTGGCAAACTCTAAGGCACAGTGCCGTGGGCTAGGGGCACCGCACTGTGTGGGGTCTCCAAACTCATTCGTCGCGCGGAACGGGAAGTCTGAGGCCCCTTTTCTTGATGAGCCAAGGACAGCGCCTCTTCTCTCTTTAGTTTTACTGTCACTAACAATCAGCGTTTGAAAGTCACCGGAGGCTGAAGCAATGCTTCCTAATAAAGAAGAGGCTGCGTTCCTGTGACCTTGTCTCTGCACCAAGGGTTTCCCGGTGAGCAGGTCTGCCCGGCCTCGCCAGCTCGTCGGCACCCGAGGATTTCCCCCAGTGAATTCTCGCTGGCCTGCTTCGTCAACACACCCCGTGCGGCATACACGGAGACACCCACCGAGCGCACTTGTCCAGTGCACCCCAGCTCCAGCCCACAGGGTGATCGCAAGCCTTCCTGGGGACCAACACATTTGGGTCTGAACGTTTTTACCGTCAGGACTGTGCTCCTGGAAACCACAAGCCTCACTACGTGGAGAGCTGGACAGTGTCCCTGGGGGGTCATTATCTATTAGGAGTCGGCTCTGAAAACTACAGATAACACGAAGGTGTTTGAAACAAAGCCCGAGTTCATTTTCCAGTACAACTCTGATTCCTTAGCAACACCGTTCTCAAATATTTTCCGCCGGCACGACCGGTAATCGAAAGGCTTTCGGAACTACTGGCTAAGGTCTCCTTTCTCGACAGAGAGAAGCGACAGCAATTCATGTGCTTCGCTGCTAAATGGACTGTGTGAAATGAAAACCCCACCTCCTGACTGAGATTTCCACTTAGAATCATTTAGCAACAGAAGTTTTGGACAAAAACATTTCTCTGGTAAAATGAGACAGAAAAATGACACGAACCTGGAGCCGCCTGTCCGGTTCGGTAGCCGCGAGCCCACGTGGCTCCCAGGCGGCCCGAGGCAGTGGTAGCCGCGAGCCCACGTGGCTCCCAGGCGGCCCGAGGCGCCTTGCTGCGCCGGGGCCTCTCGGCCTGCAGTGCTCTCCCTCGCCGCTGCCAGCCTGCGCTTGACCGCCACCTTGCCAGGGAGACCGCCCCCCGCCGCCCGCACGACGCGCCTGCTGCAGCGTCCCCTCCTCTCCGCCTCCAGTTACACCACCCCGCGTCGGGTTCTGGCACATTCATTCTACGGGTTTTCTTTCTCCGCTCGATCAGAGACGCCATGAGGACAGGCTCTCTGGTCACGGCCGATTTCCGGCACCCAGACCATGCTGCTGCGTCAGCCTACCCGCTGGACACGTGGCACAGATGGACGAAGGCTTCGGCGGCCCTGAGGCCAGCGTCATGATTTTTCCCACTTCCCTGAGGAGGAAACGGAGCGGCTGACTGAAGGTTTAGTGGTGAGTGGCAGGTCTGGGATGTGCAGTCTGGGATTTGCACGGCATAAAGCGGCTCGCCCTGACCGAGCCTGCATTCCGCGCCCGGCATCACCCCGAGTGCTTTCCACGTTTTAACACCGAATCGTCACAGCAGACGCATTTTCCAATGAGGAAACTCAACCAGAGAGGCGCTGAGGACGCTGCCCGGCCTGTCTGCATCTGCTAATAAATCGGGAGCCTGTGCTCCTAGCCAGGCTGCCTAATTCTAAAACAGACTCGATTCTGTAAGGAGCACATGACTGACTGTGCCTTCTAATCGCCAGGAGAGTGTGTGAGCGGAGGGAATCCAGGACTACTAACCGTATTACGCGTGGGGACCGCCACAGGTGGCAGGGTCGCCAGTCGAGGGCTGTCAGTGGTCGGCGTGCTTCTCCGCTAACCGCAGAGGCCCACGTGCAACGCCTCTCGCTTTCTTCGCTCAGACGTCGGGGCAGGTTGGCTGCAGCGAAGGGACCTAGAACCATGGCAGATGACAGAGTTAACAGCTGTCTCGCACTGAAGCTCCGGCCGCTACACGAGCTCCAACCCAGAAAGCCCCGGGGACCCGCCTCGTTGCTCTGTGATCCCTCCAACGCAGCTCACGACCCGCCGCATTCTGCTCATCGGAAAGGGACAGAGGGAAAGGTACATTCTATTTCCTTTACAGCGTGACCCGCGGGCTGCACGCAGCATTTCCGCTCACGCCCCACCGGCTGGAGCCTAGCGGTCGGGCCACATGCAGGGTACGTCACAGGCAGCGTGTGACCGGCCGGCTATCCCACTGCGTGGACGAAGCGGGGCCTGCATCGTCGGGGCCAGTCAGCAAGCAGTCTCATCTGCCGGGGATGCACGAGCACCTCGAATGTGACACTCCCTAAACCCAGCTCCCCATCTCCCACAACCTGCTCCTCCCCACAGCTGTCCCCGTCTCAGAAGCCGGGGGACAGGGGACAAATCCAGCAGTTCCATTTTAGACACGCTGCATCTGAGGTGCCCGCGGAACACCCGGGACGGATTTCCCACGAGGGGTTGAAGGCACGCGTCTGGAGTGTGTGAGCAAGGTCAGTGTTCGGTTCGGTTCAAACTTGACCCCTGAGTGAAATCAGGGACGAAGCTGGATGCAAACGGGACAGGCAGAGCCTGTGAATCACGGTGGGCGAAGAGTGTCAAGGCCGCAGAGGGCATTCTGCAGAGCGGCCTTGAGGAAGAGTCCCTGAGACGGCGGGGGAGGCGGCGGGGGCGGCGGCGGCCGAGGGAGCTGGGAGGCGGTGCTGGGCGGTGTGGAAGACTGTGGGGTCCGGGATCACGGCCACAGGGCGGCACCCCTCAGACATGCCATGCCCACCGTGCCACCGCGGGCATCGATCGCGAAGGCGCACAGTAGGCCGGGCACACGTGCAGCTCTCAGCGGTGGGGGAGGGACTCGGAAGCAGATGGCAACTGAGCACACACAGCTCATCCAAGCAGAAGGGACGAAGCTCGTAGAGGCTGCGGGGTCCGGGATCACGGCCACAGGGCGGTGCCCCTCAGACATGCCATGCCCACCGTGCCACCGCGGGCATCGATCGCGAAGGCGCACAGTAGGCCGGGCACACGTGCAGCTCTCAGCGGTGGGGGAGGGACTCAGAAGCAGATGGCAACTGAGCACACACAGCTCATCCAAGCAGAAGGGACGAAGCTCGTAGAGGGAGGATTTATGAGCAGCAGAGGGGACGACTGAGGGATCAGGCTCGGGAAAACGGCCCCCCTCGCCCCCCCAAAAAATAGCTGCAGAAAGACAGGATGGCTTACACCTCAAGACAAGCTGGAGGGGTGCAAACGTCGGGCGATGCACGGGAACGGTGCAGGTGGAGGTGCGTGACGCCAGACAATGCCACAGGTGACACGGCTGTCACCCGGCACCTACCGACCCCCAGGAGACATTCGCCATGGAGCTATGTTTGCTTCCAGTCTTTCTTACACTGGAAGCTCGGTCTCTTCCAACAGCTGAGCATGTGACATTTCGATGCCACCTAAAACGGCAGCAGTAACTTCCACCCCACCACATCTGATCCTTTTCTGTTCCGTACTCAGGCTATTCCTGATCAAGGGGAATACGAAACTGTGTTTTTGCATTTCGATTTCTCTGTTGTGACTCATCTCAACAAGAAACCTTAAGCACCAAAACAGCCCTGTCGAAAAACCAACTTTATCGGCAATTTAGGGCAAAATGTTTCATTAAAAGACAAAAAACAAGTTTATGCGTTTCAGAAGGCACATATTAGTAGGTACTCCCATAACCACTGAAGGGTTGGGTTATTCTGACAAAGTGTCCACAGGTTTACAGATGTGACTTCCTCTCGGACTGTGAGTTTTCTACTGTCTCCCGAACTTGGAGCAGCTCAAGGTTAGTAGTCAAAGTTCAAAGTCTGCTCAAGGAATTAATGCATTATGCTCAAAAAGATCAAACTGCTTTCACTTTATACCTGAAATGAGAAAATTATTACAAACGAGTGGATTTCATTTTGACCAGAACAGTCCACGAATTTTACTACTTACTTAGTAGACACTAAGTAGTTTTTTCTGAGAAAACATACCTGAAGAAAACTATGGGTCTAATTTGGGAGAAAAAAAATTATTCATAGAAGCTGCTATATGTAAAAGTGGGACACTATTAGTATTCTAAGGGTTCCCGACAATATCCGTGCTAATCTTTACCAGCAAACATTTCGAAATTTAAAAATAGATAAGAGCAAAGAGCACAGTGGGCTCTCAAATCAAGTCTGACACCGGTGTCACACATAAGAACGCCTAGTTAATACTAATGAACTACGGGGCTCTGGGTAATTGCTTCAGATTCCAAAGAGACACTGGGATCCTCCTTGGTCTTAGAAAAGAACTGGGTAGTCATTGTGACATTTAACTAAGAGCAGATTTTACTCATTTTTAGTCTTTAATATTTTTGGAACACAGGGATTTCTGCCACGTTTTGATATACCAGGATATTATAAAATTACATTTCATTTACTCAATTTTCACTTGAGAGGAAGTAGAATGGCTAAAAGTATCTTCGTGCGAGATATTGTGGTAACATTCTGCTTTAATTACTCCAAGTCTTTAAAGGTTTTCATTCTCATTTGTCTATTTTGATAATACGTAAAGATAAATCCTTCAAAGACTTTTAACTCGTCTCTTCCATAAAGTATAACTGCAAATAGTTTCCAAATGAGGATCTGTAATGGCGGGAAATTAAAACAAAAGGGTAAGGAACTGAGTTAAAATTGGACATGATACTGTCATTCATCATCAGTGGTCCTAGAATAAGTTACATTCCACGAGCTGGTTAAGTTTTTTATAGTCGGTTCTAGTTGAGAAGCAGTATACATATACAGATACCCACGACTGTATAAAAAGGGTATTCTAAGAATGACAGCTAACTACGTTGGTATCTACGATTTTTTTAGAAAAAGTTTGAAAACCAGACGGACGGGATCTCAAATAGTATTCCATGGGCTCATCAGCGAAGCTGCAAGCTGTTAAGACTATGAATTGTTAATGATTCCATTATAGCTTTGCAAGTCAGAGTGGCAGAACCATTTAAAAAAAAAAAAAAGCCTTTTTAAATAAAATGGTGACTCTGGCACTAAGTAGGAAGACGCACGGCTTTAAGTGGGTTTCTCTGTCATACGGGCCAAAATTAGCCTCCACCCTGCTGGGGTCAACCGAGAGGCCACTTTCCCTTTAACTGCGACCGGGAGAACGTCAAAGCTGCAGGAGGTGCGCTTTTACCTTCTTGCAAACTAGTGACACGTGTGCTGGCAGGAGCCTGGGCAGGTGACCTTGGTGCCCCGAACGCGGGCCCGCACTCTCGGGCTACGTCTGCGGGCTTTACAGAGGCGGCTCGGGGCGCAAGGGGGTCGGGGTCGGAGCCCTAGCATCCGGAGGCTTCGGCCCCGCGGCGGGGCTCAGGGCCATCCGAGCCCCCTCGGCGTGCTTTGGACCCCCGCCCCCCCAGCACTCGGAGCGTCCAATATTCGGCACGTTCCTCGGTTGGGTGGACCGGGGGTGAGGGGGCTCTCCCGCAGTCGTGGGAGCCCCAGGGGGGGGTCCAGGCAGGGCCC